GCTTTGCAGCCCCCGAGCATCTCCCCAGGGACATTCGGCATGGCCGGCTCTGCCGCAGCCCCCGGCACTCCTGTGCTGCCGGTCCCGTGAGCGTCTCAAGGATGGCTCCCAATTTACAGAGCTGCTCTGCAGCCCAGCACACCCAGGGAAGGATCCATGCTCCTTTATTCCTATTTATCAGCCTGGTTTCAGCTCCCTCACCCCTAGCAGAGGCCATGTCAGGGTGGGGAAACTGAGGCACGGAGAAGCAACAAGATGCCAGCAGAGGCTAAAGGGTTTAATACATTTTTGCATCACGAAGTATTCATGCTCAGACTCCTGCCACAATTATCTCAGGGGCAAGGGGCAGGGTTTCATCCCCAGCAGGGATCTCTCAGCTGCGAGAGATAAGAGAGAAACAAATTTAATCTGGTTTATAAAAGTCACCCTAAAAACACTTCGGGAACAGAGCAAAAGGCTTGCCGAGCCATTAGCTGTTCTCTTGAGGCCATGGGAGACCTGGAGGTTGGATCCCTCTGAGGCATCATGGAGGAGCTGGGGGCTTCAGCATAGCCGCAGCGCAGGGTGAGGAGCAGCGCAGCCCCCGCGGGGCTGGGAGGGCCAACAGCCAGCGGGAGCGGCTGTGTCCAGCTCTGCTCAGGTGATGGATGGCTCCAAAGCGGATCTGCTTCAATGCTGGGGATGCTCCAGTGACCCCTCACATGCAAAATGGGGACATGAAATGAGACTTGGGCTCCAGGTCCCTGTATTCATTTCTGGCTGCTAAAATTGCACATGTGAAATGCATTTGGACACTGGGCTGAGGAAGTAGCTCAAGCTCTGAGCACAACAGATGCCTCTTTGAAGGAGATGCCTTCAGGGATGTGCTGGGTTGTGTTTGTCCTGGGATGAAGGACACGGCTCGGCCAAGGCTGTTTCCTTTTCCTTCAATGTGAACACCCGTGTTTCTGCAGACGGCATCATCCGAATGGATCAGAAACCACCTCGTCTCTGGGCTTAAAGATCTTTAATTCAGGGAAAACTCGGGTTCAGCGCTGGAGCCAGTGGATACTGGCCCAGCACTCCAGACCTGAGCTCTGGAGGGGGGTGGGATGAACATCCTCCCCCCGGCCAGGAGACGAGCATCTCCGGCTGCCTAGGGAGGCTCAGCCCTGGTGCTCAGGCAGGGTTCTGCTGCCTGCAGCACTGCTACAGCTTCTCCAAAATAACCCCTGGTGCTAAAATACCTTGTGTGTATTTGCTGCTTTCCACCACCACGGGACCCACCGATCCCAAGCTGGTACCTGGGGAGGGGACGGGGCCAAAAACCCACCCAGTGACTGTCCTAAAGTTAAGGCATCAGGTGCAAACTTCTGGTGCTCACGTTACCTGGAGGGCGAGCAGCAGCTGGTTCCCGAGAGCTGCTCTGGGGACACGGAGGCCCTGCGGCTGGGTTGCATTAAAGGAGAAAGTCGTTTCCCTTTTGAGCTAATTTCAAAGGAGCCGCCTGTGTCTATCTAGGTCAAGCCATAACCTGCTTTAGCCAGGCAAAGCGGCGGCAGGACGCCAGCGTGACGCAGCGTGACGCAGCGTGACGTGGCACTCGCCTGCTCCCCTGCCGCCGCGGCACGCGGGGCACATGCTGGGGGGGAGCCGGTCCCTGGGGGCAGAGTTTGGATGGGGTAGAAATCAATCTGGAGGCAAATGAAGAATTTGTTTGGAAGAAGAATGGGCCGAATCTCTCCCAGGAATGGTTTTAGTCTGTAAAATGACAGGATGAGTAGGAGGGCTGCTTGGCACAGGAGCGGCTCCTCCTGGGGCTGATGGAGGGAAATAGGGACTTGGTGGGAGCTGCTTTGGTTTATCCCTTTGGTGGCATCCCTGGGTGCGGGACTCCAGCCCGAGGGTCCGGCTGGTGTCACAGCCTGGGGGAGCGGGGCCGCATCCACATCTCCCCTTGCCCACCCCCGGCATCTCTAAAGCGGGGTGAAGCCCGAGGATGGGTCATCCATGCTTAGCTGGGCGCAGTGAAGCGATGGGTGTCCTCGGAGACCTCCAAGGTGTGTGCTGCAGGGAGGGGACGGCTCCGAAGCCCGGCTCCCAGCAGGCATTGGCATCTCCTGGGAAACCTCAACCCTGCGAGCACAAGAGGAGGATTGAATTTTTTGTGGCCAACGTGGCAGCTTTGGCTTCTGCTGCAGCTGCGGCATCGCAGCGAAGTGGCCGCTGGTGGGCTCAGAGGGGAGAAATGGAAGTTGTGTCCACAAGAGAGAAATCCAAAGTGAATAGACTAGAAAAAAAAAAAAATCTATAAAACCTGGTTACAGCCCTGATGCCACGTGCCTGGTGAGCAGGCAGGGCTGGAGGGGTGCTGCATGCTGATGATGCTCAGATGGTGCTGGTGAAGGTAAGGTCATAGCATAAAACTAGACAAATTTTTTTTGCCTCTGAGTTTGTTGAAGAGGAGCTCAGGACTGGCTTTATGGAGGCAGGGGCAGATGATCTCCCTCTGTGTTAGGAGAAAACCCACCAGCAGCAGCCCCTGGGGCTGGAGGTGTTTGTGCAAGGGACTTTGAGGGTGAAATAGGTGAGTTGGCACCAGTGATCTAATCACTCATGTCCGTGAGGCTGGAGCTTTGCTGGCTCTTGACCCCATCCTGGGCATCCTCGCGCTTACAGGGAGGAAGGTTGACCCCATTTGCGTTTGCACAAGGTATTTTGCAGCTCAAGGCTGCAAACTGCTCTGCCCCCAGGCACAGCGCTCCTGGGGCAAGGGACTGGGTTAAAGGGAGTGAAAAAAAGTGCAAAATTGGGGTTTGTAAGTGTGGGTTGTGGGGCACAACCTGGGAAAAGGCTGAAGGGCTGAGGGGAGCCGGTTGCTGCTGATATTCTCTGCTGGGTGGGCTGCAAAGGGGCGATTGGGAGCGTTGTGCCCCTGGGGATGTGCTGGTCTCCAGCTCCTGGCTGGTGCTGGGTGCTGGGTGCTGAGCCCTGTCCTCCTTGCTGCCACAAGTGACCTTTGTGTGTGCAAGGAAATTTTGCGGGTGCAGGGAAAGCCCCACACGGCCCCCGCCTGGCTCCTGCCGCCCGCCCCGCAGCACCCTTGGGTGCGGGCTGGTGCCAGCATGGGGCCCCTCACTGGGGGCTGTGGTTGCCCACCAGGGCCGGATCCAGACCTATTTGCCAGCGTGGGGGTGGCAGAGCCCCAATGCCTGTCTCCATCTCACCCCACGCAGCGGCTCGGGGATGGATCTGTCCCAGAGACCCCCCCGAGAGCCTTGTCCCAGGGCTTCCTCCGTCCACCGGTGCCGTGACTCGGGGCCATGACCATGGTGAGCCGAGGCAGAGATGTCTCAGCCAGGAAGCGGGGAGCGAGAAAACACCCCCAGCCGCTTCAAAGGCTTCAGCGAGAGCAAGCCCAGAGCTGTGTGTGTCGGTTCCCTCTTCCCTTTAATTAAAACTGCCTTGAAAAGACCTTTGTAGTTCCTGGCTGGCGCTGGAGTCAGCGCTGCGATGCCTAGATCTGGTCCGCTGCATCAGCCCTTCTCCCCGTGACCCACGGCTCTGCTGATCAAGTGATCCAGCTCATGTGGGTCTGGCAAAAGGGAATTTGGGTGTGTTCACCCGAGCACTGCCTGTGGCAGGGACCAAGCCCCCCCCGGGGGGGGGGGGGCCCCGGGGGGGGGGTGCCCCCCCCCTGCCAGCCCTTTCCAGGGTTCCCCAGGCTGCCGGGCCCCCCGGCGCCAGCCGGTGGGAGCCGGGTCCTCCCAGCCGCTGGCCACGCGGTGGCCGCCCCGGCCCCCGGCCACCGGGGGCGCGGGCGCGCCGCGGG